AAAGAAACCGAAAGGTCCGTTATATGGTAGATTAGAATGCCCCCCTATAGACACTATTTCAGGTTTTTCTAAATACGGTAATTCTAAGTCATACTTACACGTAATTGTAGATCACCTAAGTCGGTATACATGGACCTTCCCCAGTAAGTCAACTAATATAATCACATACATTCAGTGTCTCAAAAAGGTATTGCAGTGTGGCTGCCCAAAACGCCTTCTTTCGGACCGGGCACCTGCTTTTACTTCCCCAAAGTTCAGGAGATTCTTAATAAAGAACGGGATACAACCTCTACTAACCACTGCAAATAACCCTCAAGCTAACGGTTTCATGCGAGCGTCTTAACGCGACACTCACCGGGAAACTGAGGTTACTGAACTTAGAGAATCCTGGGACCTCCTGGACTAAGTTAATTAAGATAGTAACTAATAAATATAACGATACCCCCCATACGATAACTGGATTTCCCCCCGTATTTTTAATGTATAATATAATCCCCTCAGACTTAAATAACCACCTAAACCCCTATCCCAATATAATAGAAAGTAGAAAACTAGCAATACAACGTACAAATGACAGACACGACAAAGAGAAACTTAAATATGATAACAAACATAAAAATCCACACTTTGATACAGGAGATTTAGTATTAGTAAAGGCGTATCATCATCCAAATAGCGGTAAGTTAGTACCCTACTTTACAGGTCCATATAAAATTACTGAAATAATTTCTGATAATGTCGTACGTATAAATAGACCCAATAGGATTACAGGTAACGATAGCGATACTGTACATGTAAATAAATTACAATATTATAATGAAGAGGTCCTTTATATTTCACCACCCAAATTATATATATATATATATATATTGAACCCCTAAAAATAAATAGAATAATAGATCCTTTCCGACATCTAGACCCCAACTTGTTTAGACCAATAGAAAAAAGTATAGCTCATCGATTTTCCGAACCATTTAATCATTTGTCCCCCCAGCTATTCTCATAAAATTAGTGAAATCTAGGTCCTGAAAGTCTGGCGAACTCCTCGACATAAAGTAATCAATTAAATAATCATAGCATTCAACACCATTTCATGATTACCTTTTCCGCCACCAATAATTTCTCTCCTTCAAATGTTATGACTATTTTTCTCTTTCTATTAGGCACACAACTGAATACTTAAGATTAACCCTCGGAATTGTTTGGACTGGAATAGCGCAATTCCGAGAATATAATTCATACACACACTGTATATAAAAACAAAGAAACATTATATAATTATTTTTTATTATTCCAGTTCGCTTTTTTTCTTAAATTATGATAAATTTTTCCCCAACAATTTCACAAAACCTATTCTCTTTATATGCCTCTACACCAACACCTTGGTTCTGAATTACTTAAGCACCGACCCTCCCTCATATATCCTAATCTATTGATAAAAGTATTCGCAATATTAACTCGATTAGAAGAACATTTGGTACACAGATGCCACTGAGTGGCAAACAAGCCATGTTCCATAAACAATGTCCTACCAAAACAAAACACGACACCCGCCGCCGCGACGGTCGGTTTGCTTACATAGGCTGCACGAGCTCGAATTTCTCGCGCCACCTGAGTGTCAACTGTTAAAACATACATTTTTATCTCGCACTTTTCTAGATTGTTCACATCAATTTTAATTCCCATCGCCACGACAATATTCCAATCTTCAACACTCTTGCCTATCAATCATTCAATTATAGGGCTTTTGGGTACGCTTAATACGAACAAACACGACATTACCGGCTCTCTTGTCAGGAATAAAAAAGGCTTTAACCTCTCATTTCTCCATATGTAACGCAATGTTACATGGAGAAAAGATCTGTTAAGTTAATATTTTAAATGATGTTTCCCAAACGTAACAAGCCGGCGTTTGGGTAGGCTCACCTAAAAATTTTGCAGACCAACTGCATAAAACGCTCTGCAATCTTTTTAGCGCCTAAGACATGCACTACATATTACATGTACCCAAAGTCCCATCTTCCACTACCATGACATCATTTTAGGGATCAAGATCGCTCCCCGTCTGGTCTCACATAATATAATCGGGAAGATCTGGCAAAGACCAACTTCTCAGACCGGACCAAAGCGACATAGGGCCACATTGCCTCCCCGTAGGCCAAACTAGCAAGACATCAATAATCTTGCACCTACATTGTGTGTAAATATGTTCCCTTTTTCAAGAACGAATATTTTTGTTTTCTTTTAACTTTTTCTCTCATATATTGTAAATAGACTTACAGCTTACCTAGTTTTGTGGTGTTGGACTTTGTTTTTTTTTTTTTAACTTACAGATGTAGATAAAACATTTCACTATTAATCGATAATATCATTTTGTTTATTAATGTCTTCAACTACCAATCAACCCTTTATATATTATTACCTTTAATATAATTTTTTTTTCTTTTTCTTTTTTTCATCATGTTTAGACTTAGAATTTAACAACTTCAACTATTTTAGGCACCATTTTAAAAAAACCTACACCTAACAATATTTATAATATTTCTTAAACAGATAAAACATTTATCATTTTATTTTTCTTAATAGATTTTCAAAATGTTATTTTTGACGCTTCCCTTACAACCTCTTAACTCTATCCCATGAACCTTTCCTCCCAACTTTTTACATCCATCAAGAGATTATTGTTCGTCAGCCATTTTCTTTTTTTTTTTTATTTGATTAAACTAACTAGAAGACCCTTCCTCGCTGTACATTTCCCAACAGTGAGATCAGAAGACCTAGTTAGATTTTATTTTTTTTATTATTATTTTTTTTTTCTCTCATCGTCCGGCTCATCATTTTTTTCATTTTTCAACTTTTTCTTTTCACCACACAAGCCGGACACAATCAAAATTGACAGCAATGAATCTCTTACACCCACCTCTCCTTTTCCACATCCTTCAAATCTCCAACTACCTTCCAAGGGGTTCCAGTTCGCCGAACATTTTTTTTTTTTCATTGATTAATCCGACTGGAACAATCCTTCCTCGTTATACCCATTCCCCATAATGAGTTCAGGATATCCAGCGCGATATATATATATTTTTTTCTCATCGCCCGACTCATCATATCAATTCACCATTTTTTCAACTTTTCATTTTTTTTTTCTCATAATTCAACCGGGCACAAACATTATGGACAACAGGGATCCCTCTTACCTCTACCTCTCCCTTTTACCTCCATCAATCTTCCCACCTCTTTTCACTGTCTGAGCTAATGATGCAGACAGAATATCTTGGGCCTTCTGTTAATGAAAACAATGCCTCACTTAAACAAGTTCGCATTGCATTGCAGAATGCTTGGGATACACTTTGCAGAAACATGCTCAGATACCCCTTTCCCCTTTTCAACCTTAGCGTCACATTATATGTTCAATCAATAAGTTAACTTTTTTTTCTCCTCTCATCTTTAATGCAATAAGATATTATTTTCCTTGTACGATTCATTTTACCATATTTACCATTTTGTGTTATATACTTTCTCTTAATCTTGTATCATTCATTTTGTGCCTTTTTATTTTTATAACCTTGATTTTTTTTTCTCATTGATACACCACCATTACAACATCTTTCTCTTTTTAACTTGTAGCTTAATAATAATTTTAACTAATTTGTATACAAATTATTTCTTTTATTTTTTTTTATAATAGGTTTGTTAGGTTATCATTCATTACATGTCATTCCCCCAACCAAACCTTCATCACCGGGGGCACATTCTGTAGTATATTTTGAGTTATATGGTTCACAACCTTCTTCTGATATTCATTATATAACCCCATATCTATATATTAAAATATGTATCGAACAATGGAAGTGACAATAAAACAAAGAGGAGGTAGACCAGAGACGACAAAGGCCAGACGAAAAACAACCTGGCGCCATAAAGTAACGTGATTACAGTAGCCAATGAGGAATCGCCACATATGCGAGCGTCCCAGAGTATATAAAGAGCCCAGAAATGGGACAAAGAGAGTTATTCAGTTAGTTGTTTTCAGAGCGACGCCGTTAGACGGTCGGCTAGGGCATCCGCGACAGTCTTCGTCCGTGGTCTACCTCTTCCTCTTGAAGTTACCATCTAGACCTGCCTCTGTCTCTTGCTGTCCCAGTGCGGGAATCCCATCACGCACCCACTACCACGACTGCCCAGCACATTCCACATCGGGTTTACTACATATATATATATTATTTCTCCTCACTCTATATATATATATATATATATATGGTAATTTAAACCAACAACCCCATATTGTATAATACTTATAACAAGATTGTCATGTTGTATGTAGAAACACATCTGTAAATGGTTATATGCATGATTGACATGTGCCATTATATCATCATATGTATTGTACTTTGTACAAACTGAGGATAATAAATAAAACTCTGTAAATACTTCTAAAGATAGATTGGAAGCCGTCAGGTCGGCGCCAGTGTCCAGTTTCGCGCCAGACGATCCGAGCCCTCACATGTACTGTGATGCAATACTTCTTTGTCGGAGGCGATATATAAAGCCACCCCCGGCTTAGCAAAACATAGTCACTTCACCGTCGGCGCCAGCCCATGTCGGTCTCAGCCAGGACCACCTCATCGCCATGTAAATCAGTAAGATCTCTTCTAACTCCATCTTGCTCTTAGCTCGACTTTTATCTGTTCACGGAACTTTCCTACTACGACTGTGTCTCTTCGTTTTTTTTGTGCGTGGACCTTCCCAAGCTTTCCACTCTGCCTCGACCACGACTGCCTGTACTCTGTGAGAACTGTTAAAGGTCCTACAAGGTGCAGAGAGGTACTGGAAAACTCTCCACGCCCTGACTGTCCCTCTCGGCTACTACAGGTTTGACCCTAGGTTACCACAGCTTATAGCGAGAGTCGACAGGATAACCCAAACGAAGGACACCACAGCGAAGAAGGTAAGAAGACTGTCCAGATAGAAAAGAGAGAAAGAGCCAAGATGGAAGAACAAACCAACCAGTCCAACTATATGGCCGAGCAATCTGTCCCCAAACAAGAGACGACATTTGAAGAGGAGGAAACGTCGCCGCCCCAAGGTACCTCCACAGACCCGCTGACACAGATCGTCGATGCCATGAGTAAGCTGCTGGTCGCCCGATCTCCAAGGGAGATAGACGTGAGTCCATACGATGGTACCTTTGAAGCCCAGAGCTTTTTCGACAACTTCGATGCCCAAGGAGACCGAGCTGAGCTGACCTACACGGACCGCCTACGCAAGTTACCCTGCTACCTGCAAGGTAAGCCACTCTAATATTTCCGAAGCCTACAGTTAGATAGGTTATTTTATAATGATGCCCGCCAGACACTGATAGACTTATTCCTAGCAACGACAGAAGCGTCGTTTGCACGCTTTTTGGCTATCAAGTTGACACCCCAAATGCCTCTAGAAGACTACTACCAAAACAAAACGGTTATGGGTATGAAACTCAACCTACCCGCCGACATATTAATAGAGTCTCTGACCGACGGACTGCCCGTCGCAGACCAGCGATTAATCGCAACGGTACAACCAAACACCATTAAAGAATGGTTCAACCTAGTGTCAAGAATAAGAGGAACTTATGGACTTTCAATCAATTAACTTTGTATGTATCGTTTTTGTGTGTTCAATTAAATACAGAGGTACATCTAGAGAGAACGTAGAAACCAAAAATAACTTACCCGTAGCCCCAATGAGGTCAATCGCCCCGGCACCGCGGCGCCAGACGTCCGATGACGTAACGCTTGAGCATATAAAAGGGCTTGCCCCACAGCCAATAGTAGTCAGTTCAGCAGATGCAAGATAGCAGACAGCAGCAGCAGACAGATCGTTAGTAAGTGGCCTGCCGGCCGCAACTTGGTCTCTGCGTTCTCTCTCTCTGATGCCTCGGATTCCCCTTAGAGTCGTCTCTGTGTGCTTTACCACTCACCACCATCACGACTGCACAATCATCATCTTTCCCCACGACTCAATACAACAAACCAGATCACCGAAATACCACATATATATTGTTACATGGAATAAAAAAGCGCGCATTCCAGAATAGAATGTTTCAAAACGTTCAGGAATGATGTAGAAAAATCGGAGAACAACTGATTGGCCAATCTAAAGCAATTGCACAATTCTTAGAGGCAGCTGCTTTCTGATTGGCTGACCAACCTTTATTGTTCTGGATATATAGGGAGGGCTGCTTACCGCCGACATGCCGGTGTACTTCGTGGAAGATTCTAGAAGGTTCTACAAACTTCTGTCTCCTGTTCCACTCCTGCTTTCCCTCACTGTGCTGCAGTTGGTGAGTTTGTAACTGCTGTTTTCTTTGTGGTTTTATTTTTCACTTTTCTTCGCAACGTTAAAAGCAGCTAAGGTACCGCCTATAAAACTAGACGTTGACATAAATGACGTTACCTTTAGGCGGCAGTATCCTATTCCCTATAGTTTGTTAGAGCCGTACAAGGAACTTTTGGATAAGTTTGTAGAGAGTGGTATCATTAAAAGATCCAGATCTGATTGGAACAGTCCAGTACATCTTATCAAGACGCCTGAGGGTTCCTTGAGATTCGTGCTGGACCTTAGACAGGTCAACAAAAAATTAATAAATCAAGATTATCCCATGATCTGGATAGACACCGCAATGGCAGCTGTGGGAGGTGCTAAATATTTCAGTACCTTTGATCTAGCCAGCGGGTATTATCAGTTGAAGCTGGACAGTAACACTTTGCTTCACTTTCCAAACCCCTTTTGGAAAATTTGAGATGTCAAGGCTTCCTCAGGGCTGTAAGATATCTTCATATCTATTGGGAAAGAATTGCCAATGTTTTATTGACGACGTTCTAATCTACTCGGAGTCGTTGGAGCAGCATCTGGCTGACTTAACTGAGGTGTTGGACAGACTTAGAAAATATAAGCTTCAAGTGAGGCCTAGCAAGTGCCAGCTTTTTCAGGAAGAAGTGACCTTCTTGGGACACAGAGTGGACAAGGATGGCATTCATCCTAAGGAGAACAACATCAAAAAAATTAAAGACATGAGTCCTCCTAAAACTGTATCAGGCGTCAGACTCTTTCTTTGCGCTGTTGGTTTCTATAGGAAATTCATTGCTGGTTTCTCTGAAATAGCAGCTCCTTTATATGAGTTGACTAAGAAGGGCACCAGGTATGAATGGAACGAGACAGCGGGATTTTTCCTGGTAGAGGTCACATGGTCGCTCCCTGAAGTTTGAGGGTTCAAACTTGATCAGGTTGAAGTTGCTGACGAATGCCCATTGAAACAAGAAGTCAAAAGATGGCCTTGAAGCTGAGCTTGCTGCTATGATCACCCAGATGATGTAAGATAGCAGGAGGAGGTAAAGCTTATTATGGAAAAGGATAGAAGAAGAAAGGCTTCTGCAACAGCAAGAGAGAGAAGAGCTGCATCAGAGACTGTAGAAAATGGAGAGAAATATCGGTGAGGTCCGGGCAGCAGAGGCCGAGTTTACTCACATAAAGGATCTCAGAGGTGCTGTGATCTTTCCAACAAGCCACAGCATACCTCCACCAGCCTTCAATGGACTTACCTTCCTTGAGAGTTTCAGGAGAGAGTGTCTCTCAACAATGGCTGGGGAGAAACAGATTGTGTGGCACATCGAGGACTGGACCTGCTTCAGGCAGTTCTGTGTGCGGACCAACAGGGCTATTCCAGATTGATGGGATCACTGGAGTTGAGATTCGGAGAACAACATCTCAGGAAGGTGTATCAATCTCAAATCAAGCTGAGAAAACAAAAAATCAAGGAGAGCTTGCAAGGGTTTGAGGCAGGGCCTTCTTGGCCTACCTTGGTGCCTCCACTGATTTCCTGGAAAAGAGGGCTGCCCAGACATTTATTGAGGGCATTCAAGATGTAGGAGTCCAAAAGTACTCTCACTTCCTTTACTACATCAAGAGAAACAAACTGGATCTGCGCATTATTGGTTAGTGATCAGGTATGGGAAGGTTTGCTAAATGACAAGAAATGGGCTCCCTTGATAAACCGATTAGCCAATATACGACCAGGAACTATAGATACATATAATAATAGGGAGTACAAGATAATTATCTTGTATCTAAAAATGAAAGGGGTATCTGGGTGAAGGTGGTTCCTACAGGTTTTAGGGAGATGGTGATTAGTTATCATCATGATATCCCTACGGGAGGTCATTTCGAAGTCAAAAAGGTTATGAGAAGGCTAAAGGATGACTATTATTGGCCCGGCATGAGGACTCAAGTCCGAAAGTATATACGCAGATGCGAGAGTTGTCAGCTGTCAAATCGAGGTGTAGCCAAGGCCGCTAATGCTCCTCACTTTAGACCCAAAAAACCCTTTGAACACCTGGCTTTGGACTTCGCAGGACCTTTAGAGACGACACCAAGAGGCTACTCAAGCATCTTGTGGATTTGTTTACCAAATTTCCGATACTAATTCCTACTAAAGATCAGTGTGCCAGTACTGTGGTTAAGGCCTTATGTGTTGAATCATCCTCCGTACTCGCCTGATTTAGCACCATGTGACTTTTATTTATTCCCAAAATTGAAGTTTAAAGGTTGTTTTTTTTTATGATATCCCGACCATCCAGACAGCTGCAACGAGCACTTTGGAGGCGATTCCTCAAAGTGGCCTGCAAGAGGCATTTAATTCCTTATTAAATCGTTGTAACATATGTATTGAATCCGGAGGGGATTATTTTGAATAAAAAATAGTAGCAATTGAATTAGCTTGTCTCTGTTTTATTTTACAAACCCATTCTTAAAAATTATTTGCCACACTGTGTATATGGAGAAATGTAACACGAGATGAAACGAAGGCCTTTTCCGACTTATTATAAATATGGGCTTAGTAATTTTGCCAAATCTGAAAGATCATTGGGCTACTGATTTTTTAACTTCTCAAGAATGTTTGCCAAAAGTTTTCACCAGTCAAATATTTTGGATGCTTCACCTTTCAGAACCTACTCCAGCTGAAGCCCCTATTCATACACGGACCCAAAAAGCACAAAATTATCCTACCTATTTGAGAGAAATAAATTTCTTTCAATTTTCAAACCATCAAAAAATATAGCAATAGATGAATCAACTGTAGGATACAAAGGCAAAATATCATTCAAAACCTATAACCCTCAAAAGCCAAGAAAATGTGATTGAGGGTATATGTTGCTGCCGGATCAAAGTTATTTATTCCTCATTATGGCAAACTTACTATAGAACCTCTAATACAACCTGATCTATCACTTACCTCTAGAATATTTTTTTCTTTTTCAAAAACATCAGAATCAAATATCCACACCTAAATGGCATGCATATATACACTGACAGATTTTATACCAATGCTCCATTAGCCCAAGAATTATCTTTATTCAAAGGCCACCTAACAGGCACAATGAATCCTTAAACATTGAATGCCTCCATCTCATCATGATCATAGAGTGCTGATCAGACATTAAAACATTGAATGCCTCCATTATCTCATCATGACCATAGAGTACCTGAATAGGCATCAAAACATTGAATGCCTCCACCATCTTATCATGACCATAGAGTACTTGAAAAGGCATCAAAACATCGAATGCCTCCACCATCTCATGATGACCATAGAATGCCTGAACAGACATCAAAACATCGAATGCCTCCACCATCTCATCATGAAAATAGAGTGCCTGAACAGACATCAAAACATTGAATGCCTCCACCATCTCACCATGGTCTCAATCCGACCAGATAATTACATTTTAAAAAAAAATCTCTTTAGGAGATTTAAAAATTAATGCAATTTCAAATAGAAAAGGTTGTACTATTGAAGTACCCACGAAAGAAAATGCAATAAATATGACCGAGTTTATTTTAAAAAAATGATAAATTAAATAGTGCCCTTCTTCCTAAAATCCCTAAGGGCAAAATGCCTACAATAAAAATTTTGTAAAAATTTGGAGGCATGTTGCACAGTACCTTGTGCCAATTTTGCCTGGTGGACTGCCCACAGTCCTGCGGAACAAAAATACTGAGAAAAGATCTATCATCTCACCTGTCCTTATCTTGCCAACTTCAACTTGTGTGTGGACTACGTCCACAGGAGGGGAGTATGTTTAGTTTTATTCTGAACATAGGAGGCAGAAGGTGGCGCGCAGCGGTGAAAGAAAAAAGAGCTACGTCATCGCTGACCAATGGGAGGCCATCTGGCCGCCTCCACCTTCTCATTCTTAGCATAGTCGCCACTAAAGAACAAGGCCTTCAAGCTGCGGCTTTAAATATTTGTAAATACATTAAATCTTTTGTAAATTCTTTAAATATTTATTGTAAAGAAAATTAAAATAAAATCATAAATTCATTTGTAAAGCTTGGGAGAATTGCCTGACCAAAGATAAGTACATTTGTTTCTTTAAGCTATTATAAAACATTCTATTCAATAAAGGCCAAACGAGAACAAATTGTTTTGTTAAAATTCATTCTGCTTTTCCTCCGTGCGTATTTGCCAACTGGGAAACAACTATGTCCGTAAATGCTAAATTTGCCAAATAGTAAAACCTCCGAAAGGACCCACATATGGAGAAATGGATACCTTATCACTCGCGAAGGAACCTTATGAACTTATGTCAATGGACACAGTAGCCGGATTTAATAAGTATGGTGGTAACCGAGCTCATTTACATGTAATATGTGATCACATGAGTCGATACTGTTGGACTTTTCCTAGTAAATATACCTCTACCCTGACCTATATTCAAACCCTAAAAAGGGTATTTCAAGAAGGTATTCCTAAAAACCTACTGACAGACCGAGCTCCTGCATTTACAACCGGTCAATTTAGAAGGTTTTAATCTCACAAGGTATAAAACCCTTGCATACCACAGCAAATCACCCACAGTCAAATGGTCTGAGCGAGAGATTGAATGCAACCATAACAGGGAAACTAAAGATACTCCATTTAGAACACCCCAAACACAATGGACCAAACAGATAGAAAGGGTCACCATAATCTACAATCTAACTCCACATACAGTGACGGGATTTCCTCCCATCTATTTATTAAAAGGGATAGTCCCTAACAATTTAAACAACCATGTTCAGACATTTCCCGAACTCTCAGAAGCAAGAAGAATAGCATCACAAAAGACTCAAGCAAGGCATAAGGCCGAAAAAAGGCCGTTCGTTTTGTCTGGTGTAGGACAGACAAGATGTAAAGGCCTACAGATTTAGGACAATAGTAATAAGTTAATTTACGTATAGCAATACGATAGAACAACTATAGGATTAGTATATAAGCGTTTTTATAAGATAAACTATCGAGGGTTAAAAGAAAAAATAAAATTTTGGATTTTTAAACACATCATCCTCTAAGATATGGTATAACCCCATCGGTTAGTTTCGAAAATCGATGTTCGGTAAAACCTATCCTAAGATAAGCACTTCAAAATGTTAGTTCGAATTAGAGATCATCCTTTTTAAAAAAAAGAAGAAAATTTTGGCTGTAGTGCTTTGACCTATGTACTTCCATTGAGTGAGTCGTAAACTCAATGTACGAGTGTATCATAGGAAAAAGTACACAGACAACGTTATCCAGACTTCCAGGTTGGAACATAGGTCTAGCCAATTTGTGGCCAACGATAGGAAGAATAGGGATCGTAGGATGAAGAAAGATATGAACATTTTCAAAGTGAGCAATCGTGGCCGAGAGATCTACCATCCATAGTCTTAGCTTTTTAACCCCGCACTGTTCGAATCCTATCGACTTATTAGAGAATAAAGATGTAATAAATAACAGTTTAAAATATCAATAGTATATCTTAACCTCGTTAGGATATTTTCAATTCAGAGAAAATTAAAAATTTTATCTTGAATGCCTCCATCTCATCATGACCATGGAGTACCTGAACAGACATTAAAATATTGAATGCCTCCATTATCTCATCATGACCATAGAGTACCTGAACAGACATCAAAACATTGAATGCCTCCACCATCTCATGACCATAGAGTACCTGAATAGGCATCAAAACATTGAATGCCTCCACAATCTCATCATTACCATAGAATGACTGAACAGACATCAAAACATTGAATGCCTCCATTATCTCATCATGACCATAGAATACCTGAATAGGCATCAAAACATTGAATGCCTCCATCTCATCATGATCATAGAGTGCCTGATCAGACATCAAAACATTGAATGCCTCCATTATCTCATCATGACCATAAGTACCTGAATAGGCATCAAAACATTGAATGCCTCCACCATCTCATCATGACCATAAAGTAGCTGAATAAGCATCAAGACATCGAATGCCTCCACCATCTCATCATGACCATAGAGTACCTGAACAGACATCAAAACATTGAATGCCTCCACCCTCTCATGACCATAGAGTACCTGAACAGACATCAAAACATTGATGGTCGGATTGAGTCTGGAGACACCGTGGAGAGAGGATGCTGAACAGCTGCCTTATGCACCGCCACACTAGTCCTGCACCGGGTATTATGGTATGGGACGGTATTGGATATCACTCTCGCACTCCTCTAGTACACATTGCCGGTGTAGTATTGTGTGTTTAAAGATAAATATACAAGGTATGTCCCATAAGTTCCCGGACAGGGTCCACAAAAAAAAAATTAATGAAAAATGTAAATAAATTTGACTGTTTATTATGGCAAAAATATTTTGCAACACGGTGGTACCAATATCAAGGCTGTACGTGCGCGCGCGCCAAGGTCATTCTAATTTATTTAAAGGTTACACCTAGCGCTGCGGCGATTTTACGATGGAACAAAAATTGAAGCAGAGGATTTGCATAGAATTTTGTGTGAAACTTCAAACATCAGCAACCGAAACTTTTGAAATGCCTAATAAAGCATTCCCCAATGACCCCCCAAAGAGAACAACTGTTTTTGAATGGCATTCTAGATTTAAATCTGGCAGAATTTCTATTGAAGATGATCCTCGTCAAGGACGCCCAAAATTTCAAAGGACTGATGAAAATGTGCAAAAAATCACCGATTTGATAAAAGAAAATCCTCGAACCACTTTGCTGGAGCTAGAGCACACGACACAGGCATCTCTAAAACAACGATTGGAAGGATCGTAACCAAAGATTTGAAGCTCAAAAAGACTCCTGCAAAATTCATCCCAAAATTCCTCACTAATGAGAAAAACTGTGTCGGCTTGCAACCTGTGAGAACATGTTGGAAATGACAAGAACGGATCCGGAATGGAAAGACAAGATAATCACATGCGACGAGACATGGGTCTATGGCTATGACCCTGAAACCAAGCGTCAATATGCCGATTCGAGAGGTCAGGGTGAGCCTAGACAAAAAAAATCCAGGATATTGATATCCAGAAACAAGGTGTTGTGGTCGCTTTTTTGGATAACAAGGGCATTGTTCATCACGAGTATCTTCCTGCAGGCCAAACAGTTATTAAGGAAATGTATTTGGGCATTCTTTGCCGTCTAAGGGAAGCGATTCGAAAAAATAGGCCAGAAAAATGGCCTAATAGTGACTGGATCCTACACCATAACAATGCCCGCCCCCACACAGAGCACTTTTGACACCAGGGATGACATAATAGAAAAATCGCCGTTGGCATTGAAGAGCATTCCAAAAGAGCCCTATAAAAACTGTTTCGACAATTTGGAGAAATGATGGCGCTGGTGCGTTGAAGCAAGGGGAATTACTTTGAAAAGTTTTAACAATTTCAAAATAATATATCTTACCTTTTTTTTATGGACCCAGTCCGGGAACTTATGGGACATACCTTGTATATATCTATATTAATAAAATGCAAATTTCATAAGTGGGCATCACTAAAAACTTTCGTTACAATGCATCAATTTCGACCAAATTTTCAACATTTATGTAAAACGAGATGGAGCAGGTTTTGCTTAACATCAAAATATTTTTCCTAACTTTAACATACATAACTTTGCTGTTATCGATAAAATACAAAAAAATTCAACAGAGTTAAAGTGTTTACACTTTCAAAAGTGTTTACACTTTTGCGCTTCTTAGAAAATTAGTTTTAATCTTTATTATATATATATTTTAATAACTTTTATACAGGGTAAGATACTTTTATTTTATAGTTTTCATATTTTATACCAAAAAAAGTTGAAGCCTTACTTGATGAGTTCAATTTTATATTTCAGATAAATTTTTAGGCTAATTTTAATTTATTTCTTTTTTTATTTTATATACAGATTATATATGCTATTTCTAACTTACGTGGTTAGTATTTTTATAAGACTAAGGTTATTTATATTATTTTTTACAAAAAAAGATTGAAATTTCATTAATGTGCTCAATTTTATGTCTTTTTGAGGACATTAACAAAATTTTAATTAATTGCTTTGATATTTTAAAAACAGATTATTTATGGTGTTTTCCACGTACAGTAAAACCCCTCTATAGTGAACCCCATTGGGACTGGACTTTTGGGTCACTATAGCCACGGTTTGGGTATTTAAATTTTTTTTGAGGATATAATTAAAGGGCATGCGCAAAAAAAAACAAAAAAAAGGCTACCTCTTAATATTGGCTGCTTTTCCCCCCTAAATTAACCTATTTCTATATATAAAAGCTGTATATTAAAATAAAAACAAAATCATGTGAAAATATTGCCTTTTTGATCAGTTCCTCTGATAATTTAATTAGTATAAATGCAATCTGCCCCCCATATGTAAAAAAAATCCAAGAAAAGTATACCTTATATATAAAAATTAAATAAAAACTTTATTAATAATATTTTAAAAGGTATAAAAATATATTTTAAATAAATATTATTATATTACAATGTAGGATACAAAGGCTTACTTGAAGAAGTCTGTTATTTTTTTCTGCTTTAACATATTCTTCAAAAATTTGGTTTTATATCTAGCAAAGAAATCTTCATTTTTTAAAATGAAGCCTAGCTTGTACTAACCACG